GACCCATCCCGATCCTAACCCCGACCCATACCAATTCAGAGTCGCTCCTACCCCTCTCCCAATCTAGTCCGACCCGATCCCACCCCGATCCCGACCAGATCCCACCCTGTTCCCTTTTCGAACCCATCTCGATACCAGCCCGATCCCGCCCAGATCCCATTCCGAGCCCATCTAGATCTCGACTTGATCCCACATTCCTTCCATCTCGTCCTCAATCTCGGTTCCATCCCGATTCAGAGTCACTCTTACCCCTCTCCCCAAGCTACCAAGCTACCCGCTTCCCCCTCCTTTTTTCCCGGATTGACTATCCTCGCACATCATCTGACCTTGGAACACAAAACAAGGGAGGATGGATCTGATAGGAGACAGAGAATAGGTGAGGATTGGCTTCCCCGTAGTGGAAGGAAATGGCTACCCCAGCACAGAACGCAGGCACATCGAACCAAAACACTGGGGAGAAGTGCATCAGCGTAATTGACAACGAGGCGCTCAAATTTTTGATAGATAAGACGAAGGTTCAAGGGATACAAACCACGGAGATTCAGAAAATGGAGGGTAAAGAAGAAGAAATCATTGTGTGAAAGTATCCAGAAGAGAAGGTGGCTGAATTAGATGATTTGCACGAACGACATGGTGTAGTCTTCCATTTCGCACGGAATGGAGCAGAGCTGCAGCCAGCAGAGAAACTCAAATGGGTCATAGAAACCATCAAGAAAGAACTGAAGCTAAAACAATCGGGAGAGGCGTTTACACTACAAAACTTGGGTAGAAATAACATCCTGACACTGCTTATTCACGAGGAGCATGCAAAGGCCGCGGCCGAGATGCAATCCAGAAATTGCAACGGCTCGGTCTGCATTATCACCAAATGGAAAAAAGTGACTGCGCAAAGGCAAAACCCGGTCTTTACCATCTCCTATAAGCAAACTCTGTTGAAAGACAACTTCTGGGCTCAGTTCGACAACATCCAACCGGGTTTTCATGGTCTGCTGGGGGACAGATTAGAAAGACAGTACCTAGCGAGCAGGATCCTCAAATGGATCCTACCAACCCCTGACTTCCTGGCTCCGCACTGTGGTTCTATGACGATAGTGTTGGAAGTCAAGACAGACAACCCCCCGGTCTTTCCACAAGCGTGGAAGCTTCAGATCGAAAACAGTGTTGTCGAGATCAAGGTATCAACCAAGACTGCCCCGATCTGTTTTCGGTGCAGGGAACAGGGATACATGGGAACAGACCCAAACTGTCCCAAATTCCCCAAGCAGACGAAGGAACGCAAACTCCTCCCTAACATGCTGGTCGAAGTGGAGGACGCACCCGGTATTTGGTTCATTGCGGATAGTAATTACAATGGCTGGGTTTTTTATGATAACCTGGAAGAACCAGATTGGGTTTGGCATTATGCCGACCAGGAACCGACGGTTAAGAAACCGAACATTTTCCCCCCAGAAAACAGCAGATGGCAAAAAAAGGCCACGGGGAAAATGACAGGTAACCCGTCAAAGATTAAGACCGATCCCCTGATTGACTCACGTGTGATGACCCGTCCATACATGGACTGAAACACAGCTGATTTTTGAGTTTTGCCCATAGACTGAATGCCCTGTTGAGTTTCCTGATTGCTACTAAGTCTGTGTGTGCACGCTTGCTGGACTGCATGTTTGTCTGAGTGTTGGATGGCTTGAGTGTGTGTGTGACCATGCCTGTCTGAGTGTTGGTTGGCCTGGGTGTGTGTGTGACCGTGCCTGTCTGAGTGTTGGTTGGCATGAGTAATGTGTGTGGCCCGTCAGGGCACTTGCTCGTTCGTTGGGCCCTCAAGGCCGGTACTTACCTGTGGCCATGACATTGAGGGGTTGCAGCGGGGAAAAACACTCAAGTAGCGGGTAGGTTGGTACCGCATCTGGAAGGGGTAGATGTGCAGGTACCGGAGGCCGAGCAGAAGAAGACAAAAGTGGCATTTTTAGAGGCCCAGTAGTTGTAGGTAGGTCTAGGCGGATATTGGTCCAACCAGTCTGGGTCTAGGGCCTGTAACAGACAATATCAGAGTTTGCAATGATGTTTCCCTCCGAAAGGGAGGAGGTACCGGTTGCTTCGGAGGCCGAGCGGCCTGGAAGTCACCACCCAAGAGGCAAAGCAGGCCGCTATATCTTCTGGCCTGGCGGAGAATCCGGCCTCTTTTTCGGTGTGCAAGTTTGGCGACACACTGGTGGAGCGCTGGCTGGAGCAGCGCTGCTGGGGAGGAAGGAGAAGGACACGAGGGAGGAAGAAGGAGAAAGAAGGAAGGAAGGGGGAGGAGCGCCAGGGGTACTTACCTGGCTATGGTGGCAGCCATCTTCATCACCTTGGTGGGCGCTGCAGCAGGGAGTCCCCAGTTGGGGAGAGCTACACCAAGAAGCTTCGGGGCAGGGTCAGGCATGGCGGTCTGAGCTAGAGCAGCCACAGCTGCTTTGGGTTGTCCTTTGGGCATCTGAGCAGAGCCTAGTAGTCCGCCATAGCCTCGGCCTATGAGAGTGAAGAGTGGGAGAGGCGGCCATGACTATGGTGGACCTTAAGTGATACCTGCAGTAGAAGAGGGACTCGGACATTGATTCTGGATCGGTTATGCAACATTGTATTATTATTTCTTGTATGATAAGAGCAGGGGAGATAAGGAGGAGGAGATTGTTGGGCGAAGAAGAAGAGCCTTGTCATTGTCTTTGCTGGTGTACATCTTCTTCTTCTTCTTCTAATCCTCTCTCTCTCCTCTCAAGCTCATTCATTCCTTTCTGCAATTGGATGGCATTGTACTTTCCGGTGGATGTGTATCTTGAAATTGGCCAGGGTCATAACATTGGTTTTAGAGCGGATTCTACTTGCTGGTGAGAGTTGACTTTGCTGCCCTAACCCTAACCTAAGTGGTTGAGGGCAACACTTAGGGTTAGGGTTGGTGGGGCAGCGTGGCTAAGGGAAGCTGCCCCCACCTGGTTAGGTCATGTGGGATCGACATAGAACCTAACCAGGTTGCTTGAGAGTGAGATTAGGGTGGCGAGACATTTCGAGGAGACTTCATGCGGCGATTGAGAGAGGCGATAGTGAGAGGCACTCGCACTTGGAATCTGATTCAAGGGAGACACTTGGCAACTTGAGGGCTGCCCTCAAGTAGGCGAGCTTGAGGGTCAGCGGCCACTCAGCATCTACGGACTGCAAGTTGCTACTTTGTTCTTCAGCATCGATGGGGTATCCGGCGTTGCACTTTGGTGTTGGAGTCAGACCCTCCTAGGAGATAGGACACTAGTGTAGGGGTAGTGTTAGAGGGGTCAGGAGGACCACATGAGAAGGGGGGTGAGTTCTATTCATCTCGAAGCTGAAGGCCACTCAGGTAAGTGTCGTGCACCTACGGGATGCCCATGTATGTGTGTATGGTATTGATTGTCCTGTTGGGGTACTCTGGGTTTCTTTTCCTACTCCTCTATGATCTTGATTGTGTGACTGAATGCATGTGATCTACCTACTCACCTGATGGATGGAAAATGAAGTATCTCGACCTAAATGCCGAGTCTTTTTACAGTGCTTTGTATTTTCATCTCTGAACGGTTGTAGTCTGTAGGTTCTGCCAGAAGTTGAAATTTCGTTTTTCAGTGCAGTAGAGACTGAACTTAGTCCATGTGGACCTCCTCTTGGTTGGGACCTGGTTGAGACCTACGTGGGACCCCTGGGACCTAGCGGGACCGGGCCCAAACAAGAAGAGCCTCTGGACCCAAATCGGTTAGGCATTGACCTCTTGTCTTCTTGACTGGTGTACGAGTTCATTCTTCTTGGATTAGGACACCCACTGCCGAGGGGATCTTGGCTGAGACGTTTCGCATGTCTTTTGGATTGCACTGTCCGTGGCTTGACTCGCACCTTGTACACCACTCAATTCTCCATTGTTGCATTTAGTCACTCGCTGTCTGATTTGTTGTACGGTCACAGAGCTGGTCAGACTGGACTCGAGAGGACCTCGTATGCAGTCTGATCAGACTGGGTCGCTGGATTAGACCTCTCGTTGGAACTTGTTTGTCTTTCTTTGATTTGCTGCTCTCTACTTCCAAATGAAATGTCGCTCCGGCTAGGAGTTCTCCCTTCTCTTCTCTGAGCTTCTCAGTTTGTTTCTCTCAGTTCATTTCCGATGCCCGTAGAGACTAGCAGTCAGAAAGAAGAGAGAGAGAGGAGGGAGAGAGAAAAGGGAGAGAGGAAAAGTGACCGTCTGAAGTGGGCAAGGACTAGGAAAAGAAGTGTTCGTTGAAGTGAGAGGGAGAGAGAACCTCTTGAGAGTCTAATTGATTTTTTTGCTGACTGGCGACTCTCTAACCCACTTGTCAACACTAGCGGTCCAATAATGGCTCAGCTAACTTCAGTTCAATGGCGGGCCTTGTTAGATGCAGCCAGTGATGCCGAAAAACCATATCTACAAGCACTCCTAGATAGTGCAATCAAAAGGGAAGAGGAGGCAGAGAAGGAGAGGAAGGAGACATTGCTGAGAAGGCAAGTGGCCATCCTAGAGGCTGTTCCCTCACTGACTGAAGAGCAGTGTGGGGAACAGTTGCAGTCTATACTCACCGCCCTTGTTCAAGTCAGGAATCTTGAAGATCATACCACTCAGATCGCTAAAGTCTTCGCAAAGTTGCGAACACTTCAGGATGATCTGATTGATATGACCCGCAAGTACCATGAACTGGCAAAGGAGGTGGCTGAGATGCGACAAGCCCAAGTGGCTAATCCTCTTCCTCTATCTCCTGGATCTGAAGCTGCAATGAAACCACCTCTGCCTCTCTTACTGTATCTTCTTCCTTGAATGTGTTGGCAACCCCCTCGGGACCTGCAACAAGTGCAGATTCCGTTGTTGCTCTGACAAGCAGCGAGGCAGGAAATTCTGCAACTAATGCAGCCCCAAGATTGGAACCAGCAGGAGTTGGTCCCAGCTACGCCGGTCCCTATGTGGATCGTAAGGCGGTTCAAATACCGTATAAGTACGACGGCAAGGAAGACATCGAATCCTACATCAGCTCCATGAGGGCATATTTCGAGATTTTGGAGACTCGACCTGAGAACCAGTTTGTGATCATGGGAATGAATGTCGAGCCAGTCGTTCGGGGCTTCTTAGAGGTCCAAGCTACACGAGCTGGGATTCCTAAAATCCAACTCATGAGATGGCTTAAGGCCACCTCGGTTGCCTCCCTCGAGGAACTCCTCATTTCACAATACTTGGATCCACATGCTGCAGCCAGGGCAAGAATTCAGCTTGATAAAATCAAGCGCAGCAAGTGGACGGACTCCATGAAAAGCCTGCAGACCTATCTTAGTAAGATGTTCGCTACACCTGGATTGGAACTAACTGCTCAATTTTGCTTGGATGTGGTCAAAGGCGCGGTTCCCACTAACTTTACTAATCGCCTGGGCAGGGACTTCATTGGTTACACTGACGGGTTCGCCTTGCTGAAGGACATAGTCAGTCTTGAGGCTGTAGACTTCATCACCACAGCAGACAGCAAAAAGCCCATGGGCGGCAGACGGTTCAAAGGCAGCAACCGTTTTGCTGTGCATGACCTGCTGGAGGCCGAAAAAGAAGTCGATGCAGATGACCCCACTCTTGGTGATGACCAAGAACAGGACTCTGATACAGCTTGTTCTTCAACCCATGAGTCTGATGCAAACAAAGAAGAAGAAAAATTTACTGCCTTTAAAAAGACTGCCAATGCAAAGGGATCGAATCGGAGTGCAGGAAAGTACTATGTCCAACTTCCCAAGGGAGTCAAGATCCCACCTAAACCGGAGGATGCAACTACTAAACCTTGGGTTGACCTCCGGATTACTGAAAATGACTGGCGGGGTAAACTCAAAAAGGGGGTATGCCTGCATTGCCAAAAACCAAACCATAAGGTACAAGATTGTTATAGGCTGCAGGGAAACCAGAACCGGGCGTAGAGTCAACTTCAGCAAACTCTACAGCAGGGGAGACTGAATCTGAGGCAGATCAGCAGTCCTCCCTTGAAGCCCAATCATCTGCTGAACACATGGCTGAGGTGAGTAACGTTTTGTATGTCGAGCCTTGGGAGGAGTTTGGGACGGTCGACTTTCACTACCACTTGGAGCATTGGGCTGAGTTGAAACAACACCGTGCCCAGGGGACGGTGAAGTTGATCTTCTTCAAACTTTTCATAAAACACCGCTATCTCCGTGTTTTGGTTGACTGTGGTGCTACAACTAACTTTATGTCACCTCACGGATACGCAAAGTGGGCTTGGGGATGAAGCAAGTGGCCTTGCGGAACCCTTGTCGGACCCAAGTTGGCAACAAAGAAGTTGTCTCCTCCACGCATGCAGTCAAAGGTGTGCGCACTACCTTTGACAAGGATAAAACTGTCACACACACATTAAACTTCTATGTTCCTAACAAGTGCCCCTTCGACGTTGTCCTTGGCTTGGGCTGGTTGCAGTCGCAATGCGAGTGGACCAAGTGGAAGGAGTCACTTTTCATGATCAAAGATGCTAGAGGGAACGAGCTTCCTGTCCTCTTGGATGAGAAGCACGAGTCCCAAGTGACTTTTCTGAATGCAATACAGTTCTGCAAGAAATGGCGCAAGCACAAGGAGGAAGAACAGTTGTATGTTGCCTTTGTTCGTCCTACCCATGTGCCATCTACTTTTGCGGCTACTACCACTACTACTTCGATTAGTGATCCTACTTCTAGTACTTCTACTTCTAGCACCTCTATCTCTCCACCCTCTAATGGTCCAAATGATCCTACTTCAGATTCGGTTGTCTCTATACGCGACCTGCGACCGGATCTAGGCGATCCCTTTGCTGATCCCCCACCCCCACCGGTCCCACCAGACATCCAAAACCTCCTCGATCGGTTTCCGGAAGTTCTGGCCAAGCCACGTGGAGTCCCCACGCGATCGGTCCGACACACCATCGAGTTGGTTGAAGGTTTTGTTCCTCCAAAGGGTTGCGTATACCGAATGAGACCCGGCGAGCTGGAGGTCCTTCGGCGACAAATCGATGAGATGACTGACACGGGGTGGATCAAACCTAGCGAATCTGAATTTGGTGCGCCTGTGTTGTTTGTTCCGAAGAAAGGAGGCAAACTCCGCATGTGTATTGACTATCGCGGTCTAAACCGCATCACAAGAAAGAATGCCTATCCATTGCCTCGTATAGATGACTTGCKTGATRYCGCAGGTGGGTRCAAGGTCTTCTCCAAGATCGATCTCAAGTCTGGCTACCACCAGATTGAAGTCGATCCTGCGGACCAGCACAAGACTGCGTTCAAAACATGCGATGGACTTCACGAGTTTACCGTAAAGCCCTTCGGTCTCACGAACGCACCGGCCACCTTCCAAAGCCTCATGGACAAAGTCCTCCGCGAACAGATTGGCCGGTTCGTGGTGGTCTACCTCGACGACATTCTGATCTTCAGCAAGTCCATGGAGGAACACCTCAAGCACCTTGAGGAGGTACTGACCATCCTCAAGAAGACGCAACTTCATCTCAACTTAGAGAAATCTGAGTTTGGGAAGGATAGTGTCATCTATCTTGGGCACCGGTTGTCTGTTGCAGGCCTAGAGCCTGAAGCAACCAAGGTGGAGGTCATACGCAACTGGCCTCAGCCCGTGAACATTCGCGAACTGCGTTCTTTTCTTGGTCTCGCGTCATACTATCAGAAGTTTGTGCCCCGGTTCTCCATTGTTGCGCTGTCGGAGCAAACACCCTTACAAGGGTATTTGCTCATGATCTTGCATATGATACAATATCAACGCCTGTCGCCGTGCCGGAGACAGTCTGGAGTAAAAAGTGAGAATTTTTTATGGCTTGGTGATGTGAAGCAAACTTCTCGACCATTGAGGCCGAGATTTTTTTTGGCGATCATGTGCAGTGATACGACGCATACGGCAACAGGTAAGGGTTAATACAAATTAAAAGTCTTCGGCCGCGAGAGCCAGAGGGTTGGCTGAGGACAAGAAAACGTCATGCGGGATGCGTCGACCGCGATCTAAATCAGTCAAACGTTAAGGCGGTAAGGGCAAAACGAATTAGAATGAGTGACGGGGCGTCGAACCGGCGGGTATAGGGAAGTCGGCAGGTCGCGCCACTGTAAAATCTGAAGTCGACTGAAAAATTAATACAACCTCGACCATGCGGTCGGGGCAGCCAAAAGAAATATACTGCTAACCATAATAGGTGGCGGCAGTTGGTACACGTATTTCGTGAGCGAGGTTGAGGTTACCGCTTCGTCTCCCGTATGTAGAGAGGAAATCGCCTCTCGAGTGGTAACTTCGTACCCACATGGTCACCCAAAACAACTGGTGCCTTCATCCCTTTACAGAGGAAGACACCGCTGCAACCTCTGATATTATTCGCACCGGGGCTAGAGTCAGGTATCCGCCTATCTATCGGTGTCGGGCCTATAAGAATGCCAACTTTTGTTTTCTTCTGCTCAGTCTCGAGTACCAGGCACATTTGCCCCTACTTAATGTGGTATCGGTCTACCTGCTACTGGAGTTTTTCCGCTGAAATTAAGTGTGGCGGGCCTCTTTCCCCGCCACTTGAGTGTTTTCCCTGCCGCAACCCTTAATGTCACGGTCGCGGGTAAGTACCGGTCCTTCGGGCCGTCTACTCAACCAAGTGCCCTTGTGGGTCACACAGATACTCAAGCCGACAAGCGATCAGATAGGTTTGCGGGCCAGCAAGAGAGCACACACACTGACTTAAGAAAAACGGGCTCAGTCCACTGGTCGGACTAAGCCCCATTACTGCTTATGATCTGAGCTGCTCCATATCTACATGAAGTGAGAGCTAGCTTAGTAGGTTAAGGTATAGGACTTTCAAGTGTAAGGTATTATGTTCGAGTCTTAAATGGTAAAGCAAATTCCTTTTTGCTAGGAGCTTCTCTACACCTTCACCCGGGCTCGATCAGCCGGGGTTCGATCCCGTGTCCTAGATATTAGAAGTTAGTAGTTAGTTGGGGCCTTAGATTCAATTGTGCTCGTGCACGACAAGTGGCACGAGCAGTGAGTTAGTTAGTTAGTATTTAGTTGTTTTTCTTTTATTTCGTTTGCTTTAGATTCTTATTTTTGTTTCTTTTCTTTTTATTTCTACTCCTTTTTTTTTTCCTATCACAATTTCGATTCTCATACAGTAGATTCGTGTGGACGAATCTGCATCTAAATCGCGGAAGGATTCATCCTAGGCACTTGCCTGTGCCCCCGCGACAGGGGCATAACCAAGCCGCGAGCAACCCGATGGGAAGCTGCGCATGACCGGCGGGAAGGAGCGACTCGACCAAGAAGTCGAAGGCGGGAGTAGAGGGAATAGGAAGCGCGCGAAGGAGGGGAGAGGAGCGCGCGGAGAAGAATGAGAGGAGCGGGTGAAAGAGGAGAAGAGGGCGCGCGAAAGAGAAGAAGAGGAGCGCGGTCTGGAGGAGAGGGGAACGAGGGGATCGGAAAGAAGAAGAAGAAGAAGTAGAAGAAGAAGAAGAAGAATAAGAAGAAGAAGAAGGTGGAGAAGGAGAAGAAGAAGAAGGAGAAGGAGGGAGAAGGAGGGAGAAAAGAAGAAGAGGAGGAGGAGGAGAAGGAGGAAGACAAAGAAGAAGAGGGATAAGGCAAAAAGGGGAGCTCATGAAGAAGATGGTAAGTGCGAGCGAAAGGAAGGCCGCGGACGCGAGGCGAATGGAAGGAGCAAGGAGAGGACGATTGCGGAGTGAGTAGAAAGATCGAGCAGAGGATGAGAACAGAAGGTGCGCGACGAGAAGAGTAGGCGCAGGGTTAGCACGTGCAAACTGGCAGGCGACATAGCGGATAGAAGAAGAGGGAGAAGAAGAAGAAGAAGAAGAAGAAGAAGAAGAAGAAGAAGAAGAAGAAGAGGGAAGGGGGATACGAACCGGCCTTGGATCCGTTGCTTACCGAATGTGAGGGCGGAGACTTGTGGGATGCGTGATGCACCCTCCGACGGGGTCGCGAGGTTGGGCTCTTCATCCCCCTCAACTTGTTGGGATCCGCGCTTGCGCAGGTTGTGTCCTGCCTGCTGTGGTCTTGGTATGTTGCACATCGTCGTGTAGTGGAGCGAGAGAGAGAAGGAAGGTAAGTTATCTTCGCGCAACTACCTCTAGCTACAACTATTGATAAGAAAATAAATAAATAAATATATAAATAAATAAATGAATCCTCCACTAAAATACGGAAAGATGCATTGTCATACTCACATTAGTAGAATGAGTAAAATGGAATGTATCTACCGCTAGAATATGGGAATATACTCTACTAGGTGTGCGTGTGTGTGTATATATATATATATACAGCCCCTCGTTTGTTGTCCTCTTCTCTCTCTCTGCCTACGGCTTACCGGGCAGTTCTGTTTGTGACGATATATATATATATATGCGTGTGTGTGTGTGTGTGTGTATGTGAGTGTGTGTGTGTGTATGTGAGTGTGTGTGTGTATGCGCGTGTACTGAGTGCGCGACCGACGACTTGGCTACTTTCATCTATAGGACGAGCAAAATCGGATGAATCTACAACTACAATACGGAAACATACATCAGTATATGTGTGTGTGTGTGTGTGTGTGAGAGAGAGAGAGAGAGAGGGGGGGGGACGATAAGTCTTCAACCTTGGCCGACAGCTAAGTCTCCAACACCGCACATCGCCGCACGGTACTTGGATCGACAGAGTAAGCAAATCAAACAGTGTGAGTGTATATTTCCACGTTTCAGCGGAAGATTCATTTCGTTTTTGCTCATACTATCGATAGAGTGTGCGTGTGTGTGTGTGTTGTCATATTCACTACACACCACTCCACTAAGGAAAAGCACGACTGTCCCAGACTGTTTCGTAGGACTTCAGCAACCCATGAGTAGGATTCCCTATCTCCGATCTACCCCTCTGTGTGTGTGTGGGTGTGTGTGTATGTGTGTGTGTATGTGAGTGTGTGTGAGTGTGTGTACGATTGTATAGGTGTGGGCGTGAGTGTGTGCACGTTTGAGTGTTAGAGAGAGAAAGGTTTGCCGAGGTGACTCATGGACTGGGCGACTGATTCCCCGAGGATGATGCGTCGTTCCTCTATCTGTACCTGACTGAAAACGTTGCTTGTATACATTTAGCATTGTTATTATTATTTATTATTATTATTTTCGTATTATTACTAATAATAAGTATTATTTTTGATATTATTATTATTTTTATTATTATTATCGCTATTATTATACTATTATTATTTATTATTATTATTATTATTATTTATTATTATTATTATTATTATTTATTATTATTATTATTATTATTATTATTTTCTGTGATAATACCCGTATAAACTTGGGGAAGCAAAGGGGGCGCATGGCAGTCTTGGGTGCTCATGACATCTGTGTGTGAGAGGTCGAGGTTGGGAGTGATACGGAATACATACCTGATGCTTGAGGTGATCGGCATTGGCCGAGATCTGCCCGAACTTCGGGGAGCTGTTGACGTCATCAGAGGCTTCGTGGTATAGGCTAGATAGGATCTGCCACATGTAGTCTGGACGCCGAGCGCCGGATAGGATTTCAACTCTGGTTCTTCCTTGATGATGATGGGACTATTTTCAGCATTGTCAATTTTATTTGGTGATTCTCGTGATGCAATGCTGCTGTTGGTTCGAGGTCACGACTATCTGGTGTCGGGTGTATGATGCTGTTTGATTTCTGAAGTACGCTATCACTCATTTTCCCTGGATTTGTATTTGAATTCTTATTGATTGATTGATATATTATTATTATTATTATTATTATTATTATTATTATTATTATTATTACTTTTATTCTTTTATTATTTTACAATCAGACTCGTACTCATTCACACTTTTCATGCATGTAAACAGCAGCGCAGCAACCTGGCAACATGCGCCCACTCAAAACACAGAGATATGGCTTCCAGATACGAGTTCACTTTCAGATGGCTATGGCGACTCAGCGCCCAAACAACTTACTGTTCACATACCCCGCGCACAACGCACTGTATCATACATACGCGCACACACTACACTCGCATATTGTCTATGACAGCCATGGCGGTTCAATCCTGCTGGATGTGGCTGTGCAGCCTTTACACTGCCCACTTCGTCTTCAGGCGCTCGGCAGACCACCTCGCACAGAACGCTGTGCAGACGCTTCGGCATGGCTCAAGCAACAATGAATAAATAAAGTTGTGCGCGGCCCCCTGATTTATACTTTTGTTTTATGCTGACTCGCCGCATTTTCCCTCGGGCCCTGAACGCACACGGTACTTGCTGGCGGGACTGAGTGAGATTGGGACTGGGTACCGCCGACTCAGCATGGGTGGCCCTTACCACCTTGACTGACGCCAACATTCAGAGAGAGTAGATATAGGCACAAATAGGCGGACAAACGCAGCCTAACAGATACCCGGACACTAGACAGACAAAGACAGACACAGTTGGACAAACAGACAGCATGCGTCAAGTCAGCAGAGGCTGGCGCTCAGTAGAGAGGGCGCCGGCTTCCCGAGTCGTCATCCACAGTGCGAGCGTCAAACCAGCGTCGAGACGGCATCGAGGCAGCATAGCAAGATTGAAGGTTGACCTTCTACAAGCAGAACTATATGTAATGATTGATAAGGCAGCCTGGCCTCAGGTCTATCACCCCCAGTCATACAGGTTGACCCAAGACCGATGGCCAGGATTGTGTGCAGTTGCGGACTTCCGCTTGGTCGTGATGCTGTCTGAAGGCCTGCCATGCAAACAGACAGACGCAGGCAGGGTGAGACGGATAAAGAGGACACAGACAGAATGACATGTAGACTAACACATAGCGAGCAAAGACTTACCGGGTCACCTGGATTGGTGCAACCACAGAATCGGGCACCCAGTCCTCTGAACAGAGCCCTATCCCTCTGACATTAATATCGAACCATGAGGTAACCGTATGTATTTATTGGCACTAGGTCACTGTTATTTTCAGGGTATTATTATTATCTTGATTATTATTATTATTAGGATATTAGTTTTAATATTATTATTGACCATGATAAATTATGAATGTGGCACAGACCAATCAGCCTGTACTTCGTTGAACACTATCTGTGCCATCATCCGTGTTTTTTTTTCGGTTGAGTGATTCGGTGAAGATCCCGGATCAGGGTGTTCTAGAGCAGCTGCCATAAAGGTGATGTGAGAAGTTCATTAATCTATACAAATTGAAAGGAGGAGAAAAAGGGTGTAGAAAGACAGAGGGAAAACGGGCAGAAAATAAATCGACGCTCTCATGGACAGAGGAGACAGAAATGAAGACAGACACGAGACAACAGAACAGATAGGCAGACAAAAACATACTTATTCAAATGCATACAACAGAACATACATAATGTCATAGACTGTGACACACGCACAGTCACGCACAAACGGACGCTGTGACATCCAGACAAAACACAAACAAGCATTATGGCCCAAAACTGTTACTCACACAGATGGTGTGGCACAACCTGACAGCAGGCGCACACACGTGATCCCAGAGAATAGGTATGCGAAGCAGCAAGCATGCGTCTGAAATAATCCCACAGGCAAGATGGACAATGAGCATACACACACAACAGGCATGCGGAACGACAAAATAAAGATGACTGTACCAGTATTATATGGTAGGAGTAAGGAAAAGAGGAATCGGAGATGGCAGAAGATCATTGATAAGTGGTATATCAGTGAGATGTTTGTCCCTTTCTTTGATCACTTGATCTTTGATAAGCGAATTGACAAAGTATTACCAATATAGTATTATTATTATTTTATTATTAGTATTAATATGATTTTTAATTTATTATTATTATTATTATTATTTCGGCTATCATTATCATTATTATTATTTGTTATTACTATCCTCGACATTATTTGACTTATTATTTCTACTATTATTATTAATTATTTGTTGATAGTTGACTTATTGTTTCGCTTACTATTTTTACATCGGGAGAATAAACAGGGATCGAAAGTGAGGGAAAGTAGGAGGCATTGGAAGGCGAGACATCGCCACCGTGTGGCAATACTTATCTCCTCCATCCTCCTCCACTCTCCTTTTGATCTGAACCCCTCACATCCCTTTCTTTCGTATCCACCCATCATCTTAGGTGAACGTTGATTGATTGGTGTCGAAGGAACTGGGAAAGTTCAGATTTGAGGAGATGTAGGGTAATGGAGAGGAGGGAGACAGCGTCACCATGTGACGATGCCTACCTCCTCCATCCTTCCCCATTCTCCCATGATCTAATCCCCTCACTTCCCTCTGTTTTCACAAACTATCCGAAATGGTATGATATCTTTGAATGGAAAATCTACTCTATGGAAGACGGATGATCAGACGGTCTGACAAAACAGGGCGATTGCGGGAGCTCTGCCGGAGTTCAGGAGGAACTCTGGAGGCAGGGAACCATAAGGTAGCACGACTATCCTTTCCCGTATACCCTTACAGGCTACACCCTTCTATCAGACTGCTTGTATGTTTGTACGATATACTGTTTATGGCTTTCTTCTGGACTAAAGCACCAAAAGCAAAAGGGCTATATGATTGAAATCAGAACGTGCCTAATGTCAGAAAAGGAACCTAGGAAAAAACCGAGAAGGAACTTAGCCTGCATGGTCTTGAGAAAAACAAAGGCATTATGATGGAGGCCTCCATTGGGGTCGTTAAACTGCCTGCATGGAATAACTAAAAGGGTACTCGTTGTGCGAACTACCCATCCATCCACCTAAGTAGTTAACTTTTGACATGCATACATTGGAAACAGGAAGATGCCGTGCATCTTCTCTCTTGACTCACCAGCTAAATCCAAGGCTAATCCGGTACTACCGTGGAGTACATACCTTCAAGTGATTAATCAAAGCATGACTAATCCGGTACTCCCGTGGGGTACACGTTTTCAAACAACTAATAAGAGCAGAGGTAATGGGAGGCTCTCGTGGGGTTCTCCTATCACTGATTTGACTAGACTAGGGAGGGGAAATGAGTACTCCCAGGTGAGTACACGAACTCCTAAGTCTAGATCGATATGTGCGACTTCCGTATAAGTCAACAATATCCTTTGCTCAATGTAACACATAA